ATCGAAGCCCTATGTACGAACTGGAGCCTAAGAGAATAATGATAATAATAAAATATAGGTACAGTGAACTTACATCCATAAGACACAAGCTTAATATCTGTTAACCTGATACAATACAAACTGAAACTCACTACACTTTTAGAGCATGACTCGAAAGAGCTGAAATCGATTAATTGGTCTACTTTTCTAGATTGTGAGGTTAGCTAAGTGCCTATTTAGCGGAGACAGATTAGTTATTGTGTTTTGTTCAATCATTTCAGCTATTAGATTTGATAGTGTGGAATATTCCCATATAACATGAATTAAAAGTCAATCTGGACGAAGAATATTCTTTTCAGTAAGTTCTCCTCTTCAGGTTCTTACAATTATAAAATATAACAGATTTGTTGTCGTTACAATAATGATGGCCAGTTATGCGCCGGATACATTTTTTGCGTAGAATAACAGATTAGCAGTTATGGGGTGACAAGATAAATTGTCGTATTTGTGTGACAAACATCGTGCTGGGCTGAAATCGATTACAAAATATTGTGAAATGGGAGACAGTGGTGGTGATTAATCATAATAGATTTGTAGAGTGTGGGGTAGGAAAATTGACAAGTCAGTTCAAGGTTATAAAATTACGTCTTCTTATTGCTTTATCTGAATTCATAAAGGGAACTAATTGTTTTAAAGTTATAAAAGGTGTCAGGTGAGTGAGTGGCTAGTACAAAGTGGTATGTATTAAACAGGAGATAGTAAGACTGCAATGAGAGGTTCATAATGAATTAACGAATGTGTGAAATGAAACAGGTGGAGGCATATATTGAGAAAAGAGGCAACATCGCTAATAATAAGTCCGGATAGTATAAACGAAAAATTCGGTAGTATTGAGTGAATGTTTGCATGAAGGGCATAAATTATGAATAATAATAATAATATTAATAATAATAATTGTAATAATAATAATATTTGTAATAATAAGCAAAGGAAAAAGAAAAAAAATAAAGCCAAGAGGGTTAAGGGGAAGGAGCACTCTTGTTGAGAAGAAGAATTATCAATCCAAGTTTGGCCACGGTAGGAACAGAGTCTGGACGTGTTCTTTTTGGATACAAAGTTCCGGTTTAGTCGATCTTATTGCAACAACTTTAGCTATGTGTAGCAGACGTAAGCGGACTGTAGGTGATAACGATTTCGGAATTCGGTATGTAACCCTGAAAGCTGTGTTGACATCGATATGGTGTCCAGTATCGATGAAGTGTGACAGGATCGAGCCTTTTATGCACTTAATTTCCCCCCTGCTGAACCAAGCTGGTAAATGTTCTCGAACCCATAAACGAACCTTCCTAATCGTGCGCCCTATATATATATGTAACTCTACAAATCTATTATGATTATTCACCACCACTGTCTCCCATTTCACAATGTTTTGTAATCATTTTGAGCCTAGCATGTTTGTCACACAAATACGACTATTTATTTTGACACCCCATTTCTGCTAATCTGTTATTCCACGTTAAAAAATGTATCCGTCGCATAACTAACTGGCTATGATTATTGTAAAGACAACAAATATTATATTTTAAAATTGTAAGAACCTGAAGAGGAGAAATTATTGAGAAGAATATTTTTCGTTCAGATTGACTTTTAATTTCAGCTATTGATTCAACTAAATAAGTCCATCAATGTAATTCACCTATATATGGAGATGGACATGAGGGTAGCACAGTGTCGGTAGCACAGTGGTTAGGACTCTCGCCGACCATGCACATGGTCCGAGGTTCGATCCCCTGCCGACGCACACCCGATATCTATGGTCGGCCTGCAAAATTTGGGCTACCGATATCCATGCTGAAAATGCCATACTTGTACTGAAAATACAGTGTGGCATCAAGCTGTAATCAAAATATAAAAAATATAAAAAAAATATTATTATTATTCCCTTGGGTTCTGAGTGAAACACAGGGCTTCAACAGGATATTGTTCATTTTGCTGTATTCCCTGAGGTCTCCTTTAACCAGTCCCACGAATGCCCATAAGCTTTTATTTCCTCTACATGTCACCCTGTGACACACGCCCAACTCGTTGTTCAACATTGAAGTTCCAGACAACAGCTTGGCATGCGATGACTCTCAACGGTCTCCCCAGTATCGCCAAATGATTACTGTGAGTTAAAGTATGAGGCTCATTGAAATACGTAGCAGTTTCATGAACGGCATCCTTTTTTTAATAATTTGGACATAATTGAAATGATATTACAGCTGACAACATACTTCAGACTATTGTATGAATAAACCTTCAAAAAGCTAAAAAGATATGTTCCAAGCAGTTAAATGCACTACAGAAAGACTATATATCGACGCTAATATTGAAGTAAACTGACATATGAAAGAAGTAGAACATTATACAGGTGGGCAAATTAAGAAATCGTATTAACAGCTTGATATAATAATAGTCACAATCGGCGCTAAATTGTGCTTGAAACGTCAGTCAATTGATAAAAATCCTATCAGTGTTGTGTTGTGTTTCACAAATGCCACTCTCACTTTCAATTCTTTGAAATAAATCTTCAGAATATACTCAAAAAGACAGCCAACAGTAATTTATGTTAGACTCATCACCTATTTTTCCAATGAGTGAGTTACTATTATAGGTACCCATTGAGTCATGTCAAAAAATAAAAGACAATTCAGCGAAGAAAATTTCCTATATCGACGAAATCATCTTCAGAGTCTGGCTGTACAGTCATATTTATTGATATTTATCAAAAATGTATAGCAGTCTATTATTGAGTAATAAGGGGTGAGTAATAAGGTTAGCAAAAGTACAATGGAAGACAGTTACTAGCTCTTTTCTCGAGCGCTTGGTGAATTCAAGCCTAGTAGCTCCACCAGAGTCGTCTTTCAACACTGTCTACAAGGTGAGACCAAATGGTACAAAGGACGTCAGGTTTCTGCTTTTGTGTATGGCGGAGGCGCTGACAATTCATCAATACAACCCCGGACTCTATATACAGAAAAAGTTTGTCCAGTCTCTTATTCTACCTTGGTTTTAACCTCTTCACTAGTCGTTCCCTTTAAAATGTTAAATTTTTTAAATTTTACTTTTAGTTTGCTTCCACTTTAATAATTAATTCACTATCATCACTCTCATATGTTCCTTTTGTAAATTTTCTCACCCTTTTCACAATTGTTAAATTGACACTCAACTACCACCTTTCTTCTCACTCAATAACAATTTTAACCTTCTTAAATTTCTAACGCTTTCTTCCTTTGTACAGCGTTGAGTACTACGTAATTTGCAACTTTTATTTTTACTTCTAAAGCTACTTCTGGGTAATTATATCAGTAATGTCACACACCCCTATTAATCACTACTGGACTACTATACATCTTTGGTAAATATAAATAAATGCGACTGTACAGCCAGACTCTGAAGATGATTTCGTCGATAAAGAAAATTTTCTTCGCTGAATTGTCTTTTATTAAAGATCTATTAATTGTATAAATGTAGGATCAATTTTGTCATTTGTAAATTACTTAGTTCGAGATAAGGAACCGCTAGAGTTTCCTTCGGAAACTAAAAACATTCATATAACAGTATGTGTTGTATGAATAACACTATAAATGGTAATCAGCAAACAGAGGTAAGAAGGAACGAAACAGCTCTCCGGTGTTTGACATCACTTCGACCTCCCTAGTATTTACTACTGTTGGACGTGAGTGTACTTTCGACTCCTCATTTCCATGGATAATTTCACTATAGTGATATTATCTTCTACAATACTTTAGGAAAAGTCATACTGACTAGAGAAACAGTGAACAGAACTAAAAATTAAAGTCATTCATACCCTGAATAATACGTGTTAACAAATAAGGAGGAAGTGAGTCAGCGGTTCGAAGGTAAAATGCTTGCCAACCACTCAGGTGGTCCGTGGGTACATTCCAAGCCATCTGTAAGCTGTACAAAAAGAAGGAAGCTTGGACGTGAGACTAGCAACCCCATCCCGTAAAAAGCAGAACACCACTGGTACTGAGACTTCAAAGTTTGAGCTTGTCCCACTGGGAACTCAAAGAAATGAGCATATATATATATGATATTCCTAACTGTGGCGGACTGTTTTATGTTGAAGACTGTAGGGTATGAGAAGACAGGAGTACTCTGGACCACCGATAAGAAGACTCCAGAAGATCTGGACATCGAGGATGATTTATGTTTAATGTCACAAAACTCGAAGACTAACACGCAAAAACCAACAAAGTGGCTGAAGAAGCTGGCAGCGAAGATAGGACTTCAAATGTACGTCAGGAGGACGGAAGTGATGAGGATAACCAGCCAATAGCAACAAGAACCAATCACTATCAACGGGAGAAGTTTGAAGGAGGTCACTTCCATCACCCATCCAGGAAGTATCGTTTCAATCACAAGCTGGACGGATGAGGATGTCAAAACCACCAGTGATCGGAAAGGCAAAGCAGACCTCCACGACTCTTAAATCAGTGTGAAAATCTACTGCAGTCAGAATAAGGGACAAGATTCAGATTTTCAACACAAATGTGAAGTCAGTCGGTTCTTCTATACTGGTCAGAAACTTGGCGTACGCACCACGAGAAGCATTCCTAGCAGGTTACTGCAGACTTTTATCAACAGCTGACTTCGATTGCTCTATACTGAAGAGCAAGTGGCCAGAGAGAATTAGCGAGTAGAAACTTTGCATGTTGAGGAGACTGTCTAACGATATCTCTCGTGTGGAACTCAAATGGGAAACAGCAAGTTGGGCGTCTGACAGTGACATGGAAGAGACCGTGTGAGGAAGAGATAAGAGATTATGGACAATCGTAAGACCGAATAAAGAGGACGGCAGAAAATAGGACAAATGGAGACGGACTGTTGAAGGTCTGTGTGTTTCACTTGGAACCCAAAGCAACAATAATAGTATTAATAATAATAATAATGAAATTATATATAAATATAGGTAAGCATTTAAACGAGGCAGATTTCTCTTTGCCATTATAACTTACCCATTAGAATAACCTGGTACAATTCTGTTCGCGTTCAACTTCGGTAAGTATTCAGTTATCAACAGGAAAGAGAATAATACAATAAAATTCATAAGAATTATTTTCTTTGAGCAGAACATTTCTAAAAGCAATATATATCTGGTGCCAAAGGAGATAATCAGAATTTTTCTTTCAAATTTTTGGGAAAATTTAAACTGGAATTAAACTACAGAAATTCGTTGTTTATATGTGTTGTCCCACCAATTGTTTGTTAGTGAGATTAATTCACTTCAAGTTCGTTTTTTTTTAAACAATCAAGGATCTTTTTTATGATTGGATATCTCTGTGCTCAAATGGAATTACGGAGGTGGGATAATGTAGAAGAAAGTTATGTCTAAAAACATTGTGGAAGAATTATCTGCAACCAATGAAATTAAGACAACTCAACAAGTGATAATTATCCATCACTACGAAGTTTAGTTGGACAGACACTAACCCAAATAGGTGCATTTCAGTTTCCTGTCCCTGAATTACTTCCAAAGCCAGTTTCAGATTACAGGCGAAATCTGATACCTCAACTACAGTTGCAGAACCGATATCGATATGCTAATAAGATAGGCGTTGAGTGCTTGGAGAAGTGAATGTTGCTGCAGACCAGTTAAGTCGCTCCGCAGAGTTTCCACATAAACATTACCAGATATCTCTTACAATCTGTTTCCCTAATAAGCCTAAACAGTTGTCTGCTCTAGCCCAACGCCGACAGCGTTTCTATTCATTTCGCTTTTGTCGCCGACCATTATTTACAGTTGTTGTGGAGACTTCTGTTCAGGCTGCATTTGAGCAGCTTTCGCTACCCATCATGTCCAGATTCCGTCGGAAACAGTCTTCTTGCACCTGTTAGTTTGGATGTAGCTAAGGAAACACACTAGCATTTAGCAGCATTTGGTTTAAGGTTATCAACAACATTTGACACTGCTTCTATAGCCGACTGGATATTATACCAGATTTCCACAGGTGAAGTATTATTTTCGATATCAGATACACGTTTAGCTATTTCTTTTCTGAGTAGAGACTAATTGCTGTCATCAGGTCGAGGGGTAGCAGCTTCGTTGCTGTCTGTTTCTCTATGTCCGTTCAACTGAAAGCACAAACATGCATGGCCCAGGGAGTGATCGGAGTCTACACATATGTCCCAGAAAGAACAGTAGTTTCCTACCGACCCACGCAAATGGTAACTTATCACTGTATGATGTATTTCAATTAATCTTTTATTTAACGACGAAGATGGCTAGGTTAGACAATGTTCGTCCTTGTGTTTGAATTTGGTGCTGACCAGAAACATGTGATTATCTGAACAGAATCGCCGTTATCGGTTGGTCTGCATCGAACTCCACAGGTGTCGCAAATATATCTCTGAGTGGCACAACATTCCTACTTGAACACTGAAGTCGCATGCTAGAACAACCACATTCGAGCATTTTGCTTTCAGCAACAAACTAGACAGATTTTGATAGAACTCATGCTTTATTTGGTTCGAAATTATGTTGACAAAGGGTCCTGATTTTAAATCCTTCAATATGAAGTAGGTGGTGTGGCTTCAAGAGATCAACAGTAGCGATTTTCCGGCTCTAGTCACTACTAATGGTAGCAGAATGAAGACAAGATGGAGGACCTACCTGTGGTACGGTATTGACACTGATAGAAAGACAAGAAGATAAAAGTGATGGAAATGAAGATGGGTGATGAAAAGAAAAGCTTTGTAAGTGGTTACTAGTTCCCGTCTGTTGATTTCTTCTTGAGCTACCTAAAGCAGAAAGAAAATTAGTGTTGCGTAACCACAGAGCCTAGAGGAAAGCTGCATGAAACCAGTGACACAGTGTGTTTAAAACTGTTTTTGGATTTATGACCGTATTACCCCTGGCTAAAGACAGCCTCAAGGTAAGTCGGGATGTATAATCCTTGGGTTCGACCTCTTCTAATCCCTCTCTCCTCAAGGTGAGTAGGTGGCATAATTGCCTTGCTAGTTATGTGAAGGCAACACCATACTGCTGTTACATTCCTGTTCACCAGCAGTATGACTTCTCCAACAGATCCCCAATGTAGTGTACATGACTTACACTATGATAGCAACTTCTTCTTAGTCTGACCGCTATTCAAAAGGACCTTCTTGGCACGGTAGAGCCTGAAAAAATATTCTTTTGAGCCAGTCTAGCTTATTGAGCCATTGTGAAGTGCGAGCTCGATCGAACGCCTGTCTAATTTGGTGGATAGAACTTTGGAAATACAGATAAGCCAGCCATGTATTGATTTTTCACCATATGGATAGCTTTCAGTAAATAGTTGGTTGATATCGAATGACCGATGTCAACAAGATGTTCAATTATTGCGGGTAACTACAGAACCTGAGCCAAAGGACCAATATATCAGGCCTCATAGGAGCATGCGAACTGCAGTGAGTGATGAAATTAAAAAAATGAGTCTCTTCGTTGAATCTAGTACTTCCTTTCTCTTGAATTTTTCAGACGTAACATTTGCCACATCTAGAAGACCTCATCCATGACTTACTACTACCTACATTCCTTTCTTAATTATAGAGGATTCGCCTAATTTCTCTACATGGAAACATACTTAAAGAAACTGCTTTAAGACTTGAGCAATGTAGTAGTGTGTAATTCCGTATTATTTTGTTTATTGGATTTACCAAGCGATGAAATAGTATTATTGTTTACTGGATGACTCCATTTCGAATACAATTTATTGTTCATAAGCATATATATACAACTACACAACTTCGAAACCTGATTTCGTCCACAGTCCTCTTTTATCCTTTCCATCCATGAACGTAATTCAATTCGCTTACGAATCTGGAAGTCATGAAGAGGAGCCTCCATTGTTGGATTATATCATATAAATAAAACAAGATGGGAAGTTAAACACTACTGTGTTTACAGAAAACCTACACATTCAAACCGATACTTGGATTTCGGATAATCCCACCTCCTTTTTGTATGCTTTTACTTTCCCAGTGGGATATGGGGCTTCAAGCTAGAGGCTTGAAGTTTTGGTAGCAGTGGTATTTATTTTAACGGAATGGGGTTGCCAGCCTCATGCAAAACTTTCCCTCTTCGTCAGTCTTATTACTGGCTTAGCGAGGCAAACGAGTGAGTCGATGGCCGGGGATCGAACCCAAGACTACATGCATGTTCGGTGAGCACTCTACCTCTGTGCCACCAAGGCACGATTGTAGTGAAGACAAGATCAATGAAATGTTTAAGTAATAGTGCGCAAAAATAAATTGCACCATAGTAAATTCAGAACAGTAAGTAAGACGTATAAACGAAGCTTTAGTAATCAATACTTATCCCAATAAATTAATCATTACTAACGTAAGGAACCGTAAGGCCTACCTTCACGACAGACATGTACGGATAGATTAAAACATCAACAATAGAGAATTTTAAAAGTCAGTAGTACTTCCATATAAAGAGAGAGCCTCTGAAAGCCCTGAATAAAATTCCTAACGAAGCGGAAATAGAAGTAGCATTCGAACCGACGAACAAACTTAGAAACAAATTATGTCTGTTACAGGATCTCGTGGGACTCGTTAAACAAAAATATCTTGCTAATCTGATAATGAAGATATAAAACGGGCTCATTTTGATCAGTGGAGCATAATAACCTGGCAAAATCTAGATTATTTGACCCGAATAAGATAAGAAATTAAGAAAGTAGCTTAGCTATTTGCGGTTAAACGCAAACATACTATAGGATCGAACAAAATGACAAGATTTAAGTCTAATTTGACAGAGTGGGGGGAGAGTCTGGTAACTGTAGCTTTGCTCACGGAATCATCTGCGAATGTTTGCAATAAGAATGACTCATTATCTGTGCAGGATATCTGGAAAATTCTACTTCCCCCTAAAACAAATGGAAAGGAAGAAAGAAAACTGTAAAACTCAAGTTTCGAAGTCGTGTGATTATAACTGATATAATAATAATATATTCTCATTTTTTGTACATGAGGGACGCCAGTTTATAGGCATCATCAATATGATAAATTACATATACGATTAGTGAGCATATTTAGTAATTACAATATAATAAGGTACATATTTATTCCCATCTATGTAGGACACACCAGTTGTACAGGCATGGCTAAGTATTATTTAAATTACATAAATTTGGTTTATGGTGAAATTACATGGTTGCTGTCCTTTTTGTCTTTAGTTTGTGGGTACAATCTGCTAACTAGTCATTCAATGGAGCACATTAAGAAATATAGAAACATTGTTTTCGCATTAACAACAAAAACCCAAGTATGTGGTGGATGGATTACAAATCCTTGGGTAAAAAAATTAAGGCTTGAAGTCATTCCCCATATAACTTTGGTGTGTGCGGCATCGAATCTTATTCTTGATTTATATTCAAATTGGGTATTAATTTAAAATAAGTGATACACTTGTATAATTTTGTCAGCATTGTTATCGTAAGTAACACCAGAAGTGAATTGTACTCAATGCAGACTAATAATAACAATAGCTTATATTTCCTTTTAAACGGGTGTTTACAAGAAATACAAGCCATTTTTACAGGCAAGATCAGTTATGTTCTAAATTGCAATCGTGAAGTTTTATAAATTAATAATTTTTCATTGGCATAAATGTATATTCCACAACTGTAATCCATGACGCATCGAAGGGGAAGGCAATGGGTAATTCATGAGACAGTTTTAGGATATGGGACCGGTAATGTTTGCAGATCATTTGTCACTGTAAGTGGTCAAAAGAGTACATTCTTTATTCTAATTCAAAAATTCATATAGAAGCTAAAATGATGAGAGAAAAAAAGACGACGAACGACAGCAGCACAGAAGAAGCAAGTGGAGTCCTCAAGGAGTGACTTATAAATTTATATATATCCTGTGAAAGTAACTACGATTATTTTGATACACTAACTAACTAACTAGTCATGTTATGCTAACTTTTATATTATGTGTGAACTAATATTAGTGTCCTCTGTAGAAATGTTTATCATGTCCTTCCAGTAATACTGACATGTGTTATTGCACTTTATTGTAAATTATACGTTTAGTGAACTTAAAATATCTATGTAGGGTGAAAAAGAAGGGTGAACAATAAATTGTGTTCGAAACTTTGTCATCCAGTTAAATAATATTGTTTCACTCACTGTGTGATATATCCAATAAACAAATTAATATGGAATTATGTGAAACGTCTTCCACTCATTATTGGCTTTCATAGTTATCTTAGGTTGTAAGCAGCTGATGAAAAGACCTGATGAAATATCAACTCAAACTACTGTCCTTCCT